TCTTTTACATCCACACATTCACACATTCACTCATGTTTACTGTCCCTGTATCGATAAAGAAATTGGACGCAGAGCCTTTCAGTTCAAAGCCCGCTCTGATCTTTATCATTATTTGCCTCATTATTTTTAACACTCCTTCTTCATGTTTTTAAGTTTGCCTCTTTGTACTTTTTGTATTTTTTTGTGTGATTATTGTTTCAGAAATTGCTTTGTATTTTGACTCAGTCCTTGGAATATATACAATTCTGTTTTGTTACTTGTCTCAAAGCTTTTGTTTCCTTCCATTTTTTGCAGTTTTTTTGTCTTGTTTAAAATTCTGTCTAAGTATTTTCTGGGTTTGGGAAGTTTGTTTTGTGTGTGTCCAGATTTGTCCTGTGTTTTGTTCATTGTAATTTGTGTTTTGTGTTTATGGCACAACTCACGGGGCATTCCATTAATAAACTAAACTAAACTATCTTTATCCAACTGTTCTAGAACTGTGTGTTGCAATCTTGAATTGTCCTCACTGTGGACTAATAAAACCTCTCACATTGTAAATACATCATCATGAAATACAATGATTATTTAAAAAAAACTAATAATGGCCGTTTTCCTGCTGAGACACTCTGTACTTTGAGGCTTCCTTCTCCTTCAACTTTCCATTTGTATTTTCCACAGAATGATTGATGTCACAGCATTTCCAAGTCAAAGATGCTCTAAATGTGGCACGTGTTGGAGGAAAACCCCGTAATTTATAAAGAAAAAGTGGGTTTTAAAGAAATGCAGCTATTTAAAGGAGTAGTGTGTAAAAATGTGGCCAAAAGTGGTACTGCAGCCTCTCCCACTCTCTCTGACTCAGGTTGCCAGATATGCAGATGAATCCAGCTGGGACCATAACAGCTGAATAGACAAGAGTTTTGTCAACAACAAATCTATAACCAACACCTTTTTCACAAAGATAGAAATCCTGGTTTTATTCCTTGTTTTGTCGGTAATGATTTGAGACCTTTTTTAGTTCTGCGTCACATGGTACTTTACCAGTGAGATTAGCTCCACGCGGTGAGTTCTGGCGCCTGGATCACGGACTTTCTGATTGGTGAAACGGTGGAGGGCGGGACATCGAAATGAAAAATGAAGATTTAGGGGCTGGAAAAGTAATTTAGCAATTCAAATATCTCTGAACTACTGTTATCAGTTAAAGAAGTATTGGAAAAGAGCATGTTTACTATTATGACAGATTAGGGCCCTTTAATAATGACAGATTAGGGCCCTTTAACTAGGACATTAGGGCCCCTTAATGATGACAGATTAGGGATTTTAATGATGACAGATTAGGCCCCTTTAATGACATGAAAATCTTATTACTAATTTCAGGAGAATCTGCAAGTTTTACTTTGGTCAAGAGCAGCTCATAAGAAATATAAACAATGAATTTTGTTTTGTGTAAAGTCTGATAAAGAATTATAAAAATAACTGAATCACTTTGATGTTTTACGGTAATCTCCAAAGCACTTAGTAACAAACAGTAATGGCCGTAGCTTTGGCAGCAGTTGGCAGAGAGAGCTCCATTCATGAGTCTGTGGGACACGTTACTCATCCCTGGGTTCACGTCTCACTCTGGAAACAAACATAACATCAGTCCATCCCAAACCGTCCAATCAGAGTTGAGAAAAATACAAATAAACAAATAAATACATAGATAAGAGTGAGACAAAAGACCGTATTTTGAGTTATTTTGGGCGACACAGTGGTTTTCACCAAGAAGGTCCTGGGTTCGGATCCTAGTCGGAGCAGGGTCTTTCTGAGTGGAGTTTGCATGTTTGTGTAGTGCAAGTGTCGGTTTCCTCCAGGTGCTCCGGTTTCCCCTACCATTAAAAACATGTACAATAGGTAATACAACTGCCACCTTAACGTGGTGGGGGAGTTTGAGTACTCGGGAGATCCTGGGAGCTATGCTGTCTGGGGCTTCATGCTCCTGGTAGGGTCTCCCATGGCAGACAGGTCTCAGGTGACGAGTCAGACAAAGCGCAGTCCGAAGCCAACCATGGACAGCACTACTACAAAACCAGTGACATCGGCCGGCATGGCGCAGCCGGGGCCCCACCCTGGAGTCAGGCCTGGGGTCGGGGCTCACAAGCGAGCGCCTGGTGGCCGGGCCTTAGCCCAAAAGGTCGACGTGGGCAGTCCCTCCTGTGGGCCCACCACCTGCACCTCCTCGTGGAACGTCACCTCACTGGGGGGGAAGGAGCCCGAGCTCGTGAGGGAGATTGAGCGATACCGACTAGAGATAGTTGGCCTCACCTCCACACACAGCTTGGGCTCTGGAACCCAACCCAGTTGGTCGCGGAACACTGGACCAGCTCTATACTCTCCATCGGATACTCGAGTTTTCATGGGAGTTCGCCCAACCAGTCCACATGTGCTTTGTGGATTTGGAGATGGCGTTCGACTGTGTTCCCCGGGGTGTCCTTTGGGGGGTTCTCCGGGAGTACGGGGTCCGGGGTTCTCTGCTGAGGGCCGTCCGGTCCCTGTATGACCAGAGCCAGAGCTGCGTTCGCATTGCCGGCAGTAAGTCAGACCTGTTCCCGGTGCATGTTCAGATTCAGATTCAGATTCATTTATTTGCCATTTGCAGTAAAACAACATTGGAAAAACTGTGCAAGACTACCCCGGTGTGCACCATGTTGGCCTCCGCCAAGGCTGTCCTTTGTCACCGGTTCTGTTCACTGTGTTTATGGACAGGGTCCGGAGGGGGTCCGGTTAGGGGACCACAGGATTTCATCTCTGCTCTTTGCAGATGATGTCGTCCTGCTGGCTCCAACGAACCAGGACCTGCAGCATGCACTGGGACGGTTTGCAGCCGAGTGTGAAGCGGCTGGGATGAGAATCAGCACCTCCAAATCCGAGACCATGGTGCTCGACCGGGAGGAGGCTCCGGGGAAGACCCAGGACACGCTGGAGAGACTATGTCTATTAGCTGGCCTGGGAACGCCTTGGGGTCCCCCTTTAGTATGAATCTGAAATGCAGCCTCCTCATGTTGAGTTTAAAGTGGCGTTTAACAGACTCGGCTCGCGTCTCACTAAAATCTCTTTACAATGACACTGTTTTTAGTAGCTATACGGAAACCGGAGCGTCTGGAGGAAACCTACACAGACCCAGGGTGAGCACATACTGCAGTGTGTGGCCCGTGGGCTGTGTCAGAATCACATGGTTTATTAATACTATGAAAATACTGATCTCATACTTCTTTAACCCTCATTTTGTGTTAGGAACCGGCACCACTGCCCGTTGTTAGCGGGTCAATTTTAACCCTCTAAAACTCTAAAAAGAAAGAAATATCACTTGATATAGTTAATACTACATCTTAACTAACATTTTATGCATTCAAAGTCATAACATCTAATTTTGATTTGATTTAATGACCCTCGAGACAGATCTTATCCCTTATTTTTGAGCAGAAAATAAGGTTTTTTTGAATCATAATATACTAAATGTAAAATCCATAGATAATAATGTTTTCTAACTATAATAGAACAATATTAGAATATTACTTGAGAAAAAAGTTGAACCTATATAAATATATTAATAATAGTTACATTGGTGGTGTCAGGGTCAAATTTGACCCATGTACATTTATTGGTAAAAGGAGCCTTTGTTCTTCAGAAAACTAATTTATTTTCAGAAAACACTACTTTTCTGAAAGTTTTCTGGAGTTTGGTCTGAAAAGCTCAAATGTAGTCTTTATGTCTTGGATCTGTGACTTTGCAATCCAGTGGGTCCAGGTCATTTTTATGATGTTTGCTGATTTTGCTCTGCCTTTATTTTCCTTCGGGTTTGAGACCAATCCTTCCCAGTGTTTGAAACAAAGCCCTGTTCTGGCTCATTCAGTCACTTCTTCATCTGAATCTGATGTTTCTTCATCTTGATGTGGATCATCCACAAAATCCTCCTCAGATACTATCTTCTTCTATTTCAGCATTGTGGCTGAGAGAATAGCACTACTGCTTCTCAGTTAGAAGGTTCTGGGTTCAAATCCTGGTCAGAACAGGTGCCTTTCTAAGTATACACAGCAAAAAGTAGAGTGTTATATTGACTCTCACAGAGTCAATTTTAACATTATTCCAGAGTTTATTTGAGTCCACCTCATTTGAGAGATTCCTTGTTTAGTTAATTCAGTAACACTGGAAAAGAGTTATTTTTTAACACTGAAATCAAGGGTTATATTAACACCTCGAGAGTTACTTAACACTATGTCAGGTCATCACCTCACACCGGGAGGTGTTTTATTTCTACTATTTCTAATGTTAATGTCACACTGTCAGGTCATCCCACAACACCAGAAGGTGTTTTATTTCTACTATTTCTAATGTTAATGTCACACTGTCAGGTCATCCCACAACACCAGAAGGTGTTTTATTTCTACTATTTCTAATGCTAATGCTTCAAATTTTTTGAGCAGGTACTATACGCTATAAAATGTTAAATTAGGACAATATGAATTTTCAAAAAAATATTTTTTATTAATAAAACATTGCAAAAAATGAAAATATGTACAAACTTCAATTTGAAATATTGCAGGCTTTTTGAATATCAATCATGGCTTTGAATTTTTAAGACAAAAGGGTGACGAGACATCTTTCATCACATTTGAGACTCTGAAGCATGACAACCATCCCGCATTGAAAGAAACAAACATTTTCCAGACCAGTAGTACTTCTAGAATTAAAGAAAACACAGGGATACAACCTGCTTGTGCACAATACAACTGATAAAAGTATGCTTACACAGAAAACATGTCAACGTAACTGCTCTTCGCACAAACACGCAGTTAGTTTTTGGTTTTGCTCGCCACTCCTTTACCCCAGGAGACTAATTTTCCCCACATCTATGTTGAACACTGTTCTGGTCTGAATAAATGTGTAAAGATTGACTAAAGCAGCATCATAGGACAAGTTGAACACAAAATAACTTAAAAAGTTCATCAAAGGTTGCCTGGTCTGGGATGAGATGAGAGTCCAATTTAATGTTGTCCATTTTGCCGGTTGCTGCCCAGTTGCAGGATGTTGGGGTCGGGTGCTCCTCCGGGCTGCAGCATGACTAGTGGAAACAAAGAAAAATATGAATATGGCGCATTAACAGACTGCTAGTGGCTAATGGATGAATGAGACAACTGTGTGCTGCTGTCTGCGTTTGGATTCTAATACAAAAAAATGCTAATAAAATGTCAACTTAATGTAAACTTTGATTATGGAACTTCAGCAAGAGATGGAAGAAGAAAAATCTAAGATCCTTGTTGACTGAAAGTGTGTACATAAGAATGGGTTATTGCTCATAGGAGAGAAGAGATGTGGGGTGTATCTGAGAGTATAAATGTTGTCTTATTCGTTTTTAGATGTGTGTAGCATTCTCCATACTTTGTCTAAAATGTCTATTACCTCCAGAAAGATGTCTTAACAAGTAACAGGCATGCCATTTCAGAGTCATTAGCTAAAAAACAAAAAGTATAACAAGTATTTTGCCACTTTAAATTGCCACTTTTATTGTACATATATATCCCGCATGTATCATGTTTCCACATTTCGTCCTTTTGCACAATCTGAGTGTTCTATCCATGCCAAACGTGACATGTAAATTTCTCCTTGTGAGATAAATAAAGCACATCTTATCTTATCTTATCTTATTTAATCTTTTTTTTTAACTTACGGTGAAAGAAAATCTTAAAATGGGACAAATGGTACTTCTTTCATTGGAGTTTGAGCTGACTCAAGCTGTGATTGTAACTCTGGGGTCCATGCAAGTCGTTCCCTCCTCGAAATAGAGATCACATTTCATGAGGAGCCAAGTGTCTGTGTAAAGAAGTGTAAAGATGATTCACTTTACACTCAGCATCAAATTGAAAATGAGTGAAAATCATAAGGAATCATTCAAAACATAACAAATATTTTACCAATCCTTTGGTGTCAAGGAATCGGGAAAGATGGTAAAGACATCTGTACTTTTTCCATGGTCATTGATACGTTTTTGGGAGCCATCACTGTCCTGTTGTTTGTAGTTGCTGTAAATTGTCTCTGTAATGATGGGCCTCATTGACTAACGTTGGTTGGGATGCATCTTGGCCGTTTTAGATAGATTCACTGTCCTGCCTGCAGGATCGTAAAAATGCTCCTGAAAAGACAGAATAATACTTTCAAAATATCAATTTGAACAGAAAATACATACCATTTTGGTAACGGCCAAAATTTTAATATAACCTAGCTATCCTTGCATGCAGATCTTTGAGGGAGGGAAATGCCATCACAATCCCAAGGGACGTACTTTTGGTCTTTAGAATGTAGCTGAACATAAAAATAACCATGAGTAATATAGGATCTTTTAAAAATGTGGTGCTCAAACCCCAAATAGAATAATGATGGTAATATTTTTTTATAAGTGCGCAAAGTGTTCAGATTAATTTAGACAGATCAAATACAGAGAACAAAATACCTTGCAAGTTTTCACGGTACTTCACTGTGATTATCAGTGCCATGTTAATTCCACCTAAAGACACAAGCACACTTTATCAGCAAAGTCTTGACCATGTGCACAATGGCGGCTACAGCACATGCTAACACTGAGCTAACGCCAGCAGCGCTACACGGTCAAACATGAGCTAACACCAGCAACATAAGTTATGTTGTTTTAAGAACAAGTACTAAAGCTAAAATGAATCTCATAGTTCCATTCCAGCATTAGTATTGTCGCTAAAATAACATAACTTGAACAGTTTCATATACAGTATCGAGTTAATCCTAAGACTGTTGTTTATATTGCATAAAAGTATGATGTTGAAAGCACCTTGGTCAAGAGTTTGAGCCGTTGTTAACAATATAATTTACTTCAAGTCGTGTTGAGTGTCAGTAAACAACATTTTATTTACAATAAAACCATGTTTTCAAATGTTAAATAAATGTTACTTACCACAAAATCCAGCTGCATTTGATCAAGACCACGTCAAGCAGAAAAATGCAAAGAACTGTTGGATTCAAACTGGATGGATCTGGTTCAAACCTGTGTTCACCCCTGATTGTGTTCACTAGTGTCTAGAAGATGTTAGATTAACACTGAATAATGTTTCAAAAATCATGATTCTAGCAACACTGACAAATAACCCGAACTCTGACCATGATCAACTATTACAGTGTTAAAATGACACCTAAATTGTTAAAAACCCTGTGTTTTTAACTTTCTAGTTTTTGCTTTGTAGTTTGCATGTTCTCCCTGTGTATGCATTGGTTTCCTCCAGGTGCTCCGGTTTCCCCTACCACTCAAAACATGGACAATAGGTAAAATTCTACTGCTCTGGTCCTGATCAAGCCGAGCATCAACATCTGGAGATTGGTCCAAAGACAATGTATTACACAGCGACCACTGCTCCTGATAGAGAACCTAGTAGCACTTGCAGGATGGGTCAAATGCAGAGGTAAAATAATGTGCACAGGGGCGACAGTAGCTCAGTTGGTAGAGCATTGGCCTTTGGGCCTGAAGGTTGTGGGTTCGGTGGGTTCGAGCCCACCGTAAGACCTTCACGACTCCCGCTGATGACTGCTGTCGTTGTGTCCTTGGGCAAGACACTTAACCCCACTTTGCCCAAAGCCCCAACTGAAAGATCTCAGCTCCTGTGGACTCACCACCTGCAGGAGGATCAGTGAGGGGCTGGTGCTATGTGTCCTGGGTGCAGCTCTGACTGCCACCCCCCCGACCCAGAAATGGATTAAGGGGAAGAAAATGGATGGATGGATGGACGGAAACTGGTGCACCCGGAGGAAACCTACTCAGCCACAGGGAGAAAAAACTACACCCAAAAAGGCCCTGCTCAGTCCAGGATTTGAACCCAGGATCTTCTTGATGAGACATAAGGGGTTGTCTGTGTATGTGTGCGCACAAAAGTGTCAAGTCAGGTCAAGTATGAGTACAATATTTCATCTTTTTGTTCACAAAGTGTAAAATGTTAGAATGTTCTCACATACTCTTGGAGGAAGGAGGTGGGATCAGAAAATGTATGAACTTTGTATAGTTTTACCCATTTAGTGTAGTTTTACATTGCTGGGTCAAAAATGACCCTAACACCACAGTCCTACCTTTTTTTCTGCCGATCCTTTCAGAAATGTCAAAATTGTAAAAAACATAGTTTTTCTGTGTTTATATACAGTGGGGCAAAAAAGTATTTAGTCAGCCACCAATTGTGCAAGTTCTCCCACTTAAAAATAATGACAGAGGTCTGTAATTTTCATCAAAGGTACACTTCAACTGTGAGAGACAGAATGTGAAAAAGAAATCAAGGAATTCACATTGTAGGATTTTTAAAGGATTTATTTGTAAATTATGGTGGAAAATAAGTATTTGAGTATTTTAAGTCAATAATTTGTAATATAACCTTTGTTGGCAAAAACAGAGGTCAAACGATTACTAAAGGTCTTTACCAGGTTTGCACACACAGTAGCTGGTATTTTGGCCCATTCCTCCATGCAGATCTTCTCGAGAGCAGTGAACACGGACTTTCAACTCCCTCCACTAATTTTCAATGGGGTTGAGGTCTGGAGACTGGTTAGGCCTTTGTTGCCCGGGCGGTGTGTTTGAGATCATTGTCATGCTGGAAGACCCAGCCACGTTTCATCTTCAAAGCTCTCACTGATGGAAGGAGGTTTTGGCTCAAAATCTCACGATACAAGACCCCATTCATTCTTTCCTTAACACGGATCAGTCGTCTTGTCCCCTTAGCAGAAAAACAGCCCCAAAACATGACGTTTCCACCCCCATGCTTCACAGTAGGTATGGTGTTCTTGGGATGCAACTCAGTATTCTTCTTCCTCCAAACACGACAAGTTGAGTTTATACCAAACAGTTCTACTTTGGTTTCATCTGACCACATGACATTCTCCCAATCCTCTGCTGTATCATCCATGTGCTCTCTGGCAAACTTCAGACGGGCCTGGACATGCACTGGCTTCAGCAGGGGGACACGTCTGGCACTGCAGGATCTGATTCCCTGTCGTCGTAGTGTGTTACTGATGGTAACCTTTGTTACTTTGGTCCCAGCTCTCTGCAGGTCATTCACCAGGTCCCCCCGTGTGCCTCTGGGATTTTTGATCACCGTTCTCATGTTCATTTTCACCCCATGGGATGAGATCTTGCGTGGAGCCCCAGATCGAGGGAGATTATCAGTGGCCTTGTATGGCTTCCATTTTCTGATAATTGCTCCCACAGTTGATTTGTTCACACCAAGCTGCTTGCCTATTGTAGATTCACTCTTCCCAGTCTGGTGCAGGTCTACGATTCTTTTCCTGGTGTCCTTCGACAGCTCTTTGGTCTCCATAGTGGAGTTTGGAGTCTGACTGTTTGAGGCTGTGGACAGGTGTCTTTTATACAGATAACGAGTTCAAACAGGTGCCATTAATACAGGTAACGATTGGAGGACAGAAGAGCTTCTTAAAGAAGAAGTTACAGGTCTGTGAGAGCCAGAGATCTTCCTTGTTTGAAGTGACCAAATACTTATTTTCCACCATAAATTACAAATAAATTATTTAAAAATGTGAATTCCTGGACCTTTTTTTTCATTTTCTGTCTCTCACAGTTGAAGTGTACCTATGAATACTTATTTGCCCAGTGTATCTGTATGTAGTTTGTTTACTATTGCAACCTTCACCTTAAGCATTGACATAGTAAAGCTCGGAATCCTATTTTTGCCGTTGCCATATAGATAATGGAGAAGAATGAAGGAATTTAAATAACACATAGTCTAAGTATAATGCCGGATGTGACAGGGCTAATTCATGTCAGTGTCAATTTCAGGATTTATTGTATAGCACATTTACAACACCACAAGCTGCCCAAAGTGCTTCTGCCGCAGCTCATAATTCATAAGCTAGTGATTGAAGCTAGAAGTTTTAACACATGTATTTGGACTATTTTTATATGTCTGGCGCAGGACACAACCACAGCAGACTTCAGTGGGAGCAGTTGGAGTATCTCTCGTGGGGATCGAACCCACAACTTTCAGGCTTCAAGGGCCAATTCTCTACCACTGAACCACTTCTCTGATTTTAATGACATGAATGAGA